GATAGGGCACGTAGGTGTGTTTTAGCCAAAATGCTATGGTTAGCTAAATGGGGAGGTCTGGCTTGATCCAGGCCCACAGAGCAGAGGTTCTCCACTGCTATCCTAGAAGGGCTATGTTGTAGGTCTACCTCTTTATAAAATTTGCAACAAAAAACGGTGCAGGAGAGCAAACTGGATCCCAAAGCCTAGACGAATGCATGTACACAGCATGATAATCAAGCAATTTCTTCTAAGGCTCAGCCCCACCATCTCTATTCTTAGACCAGGACTCAGCCCAACAGCATAAGAACAGGTGAAAGTGAGCCTGAGTTAGGTAGAGTGCATTTATCTCCCACATGCACAACTACGAGTTCCCATCATCATGGATTAGGGCAGGGATGGCTAACCTGGGGTCTTCCAGATGTTGCTGTACTCCTACTAGCCCTTGTCATAGCCTATCTTCAGATATGATGGAAACTGCAGTCCAGCAGGTCAAGAGTTTAGCCATTCCTGGGTTTGGGAAACAACTCTGAATTCATATACAGTGGTACCTCGGGTTACATACGCTTCAGGTTACATACGCTTCAGGTTACAGACTCCGCTAACCCAGAAATAGTACCTCAGGTTAAGAACTTTGCTTCAGGATGAGAACAGAAATTGTACTCCGACGGCGGCAGGAGGCCCCATTAGCTAAAGTGGTGCTTCAGGTTAAGAACGGACCTCTGGAACGAACTAAGTGCTTAACCCGAGGTACCACTGTAGTGGATTCTGATGCCCAGCATGTTTTCTTTTTTGAGTGGGGTAGGGTGGAAGACACCATCTTCACCTTACAGAGCAAGGCTAGGGAACCTGTGGCCCTCCAAAAGCTGGGACTCCAAACTCCCATCAGCTCTGATCATAGGTCATGCGTCTGGGGCCAATGTGGGAGTCCCAAAACATCTGAAAGATCACAAGTTCCCCCAGTAGAGAGCCACCTTCAAGGCTTATGAAAATTCCACACCAATCTATACCAATTCTAGTAACTGCACTTAACATATTCACTCCAAAGGTAGATTCCAGGACACATTTCATCATAGCAATAAATCTATCTTGCATCCTATACATTTTTCGCATCCAACATAACTCACTTTCTTGTAACAAAAGTTACAAATTCCTGAGTGAACGGTAGCTAGTGCTGCTAGTTCAAATTAATCAGACCTATTTAGCTCTAAGACGTCACAACATGCAAGGATGTGACTGATCTTCAGCATCGCTTGCTAAAAGCAGGACTTCTGTAGGTGTGCAAGGTAAAAGAACCAAAAGAATGCCAAAATGCCTAAACAGCAGTATAAAAATTTATTACAATTAAATTGGTATCATTTTGGGTAGTGGAAAGTGATTCTAAGTGAAAAACTGAAGACAATGCATGGATTTTGGCAAGTTACTACAGACAGGAATATAAGGTAAGGCAAGAAGGATTTTTAAAATGACAGCTAAAGACAGACCCTTAAAGAAACAAATAAAAGCTGTTTCAGAAGTTGGTCACATGTCGAAGAATCACGACATTTAAGAGGACCATTGGAGAATACTAGAAGCTGTAAAGCCAGATTCAGCTAATCTACACTTTCATGAAACTTGTTTGCTATCCATTCTTTTTCTGTCCAGAAAATATCTGCCAATTTAGACATTTAGAAAAATGTTTATACCAAGTGACAAAATGTTAGTCAGTCAGAAAAATGTATGCCACACACACAAGTTTTGAAAGAATAAAATTATCAAATGCTGCAACTTATTAATATTCACTGTAGCAGAAACCTTACAAAGTAAAATAAATGCTGGTCATCTCAAAGTCCCTGAAATATTTAGGCCCATTTTTCTTTCTTTGTAGTATAGATTATCAGCATTAATGCTGACTAGAATGGAAAGAATTGCCCTGGAGTAGCAAGAATTTTCTCTGAGTGGAAGAGTTGATGCAGCCAATTGCATTTGTTAAGAAACAGGTTTTTAAGATGGTCATGAAGCCTTTGATGGAACTGGCACTGACTGCTTACTGTGGCCTCTGAATTCTTCTCTCTGAATCAGGCAGGTACAGCATACCTCACTTACTCCCGTTAGAATTCAGATACCTTGTGGACCAAAGCATGAAGGAGCTCTCCCAATCTTACATAGTAGAGCAAAAGAGATGCAGCTTAATGTATGATTTTGGAAACCTAGGGTGGGATACGACTAAGTTGTGTGCATGGAATGAAGTCCCTTCATGCAATGAGCCTCCCCCACCCCAAATGCACTACTCTGGAGGGTTGGCGAACCCCTAGAACAGGTTTGAGGAGTATGTGAACTAGGCCTGTCTAGCAGTTTTCATGAACTGAATATGCACCCTAGAGTGTGCCACAGAACTGCACATGGCTTGGGGTGGTAGTTGCAGGGCACTGCAGTCAATGTTTTTATAAATATAAATCAAAGCACGCCAAGTATTAATAGTGAAGATTTTTCATATGCCAATTTATCCTAGAATATAACTTCTTCAAGAAGTGAGAAAGTGACCCAGAAGCTTTATTGGCTAAACTTTAACTCCCCCAAAATGTATGTTAAAGGAAGCAGCAATTAAGGATAAGAAATCCCCTCCTTCCACAATGGGATGGGTGCCTGAGGGGGTTACCTATTTGACTGTCACTGTTGGAAGCAGCTGCAATTTTCCTTAGCCAAGTGTCTAATAGGGAAAGGACAATACAGCTCTCACTCCTGCCTCCTCTGCAGTGTGGCTGTCTTTCCTTATAGGGAGAGCTGGTGCTTCATTCACTCAATTATCCAATCCTGCTACTCACTTGTGCTTAGAGCAGAAAGGTCCTCTATTATTTGTTAAGCAGAGGTTGATGGTCATCTGCTATGATCTAGTAGAGATTCCTGCATTGCACGGGGGTTGGACTAGATGACCCACAAGGTCCCTTCCAACAATCCTATGGTACTATGGGAAGAGGGCACAGGTTGAAAAGTCCCACTGCTCATACTCCCACTTAGTGCTACGTTTAATCCTACCCTATATTTAATACAGTATTTTTAGTTTTCTGCTTTATGGTCTATGGCAGGCATAGGCAAACTCGGCCTTCCAGATTTTTGGGATTACAATTCCCATCATCCCTGACCACTGGTCGTTAGCTAGGGATCATGGGAGCTGTAGTCCCAAAACATCTGGCAGGCTTAGTTTGCCTATGCCTGATCTATGGTTAAGCAGAAAATACAGACACCTTTGAAATCAAAAGGCCAAATACTGGCAATAAGTTGCCTAAGATGCCCCTGAGGGTATTAAACTTATTTCATAAGATTTATAACGCTATTAATACTGTTAAACCTAGAAAGCCTTAATTATTGGAAATTCCTAGAAGCTTCTTGTATGCTGCTGACCATGTAAAGTTTAGCAAAACAAATGCATAGAACACACAGATAAATGTGGCGATCCTAAGATTACAAAGGAACAGCGTTAGAAAATGCTGCAATGGGTCATTGTGTTCCTTACCAATTCCTATGAAACCCTGAAACAGAGAAGTCAACTTGGCATGTAAAAGCAGAAATGCTTCACAAATAAGAATGCTGACACAATGAGCTTGGACCCTCAGAGAAACTGTTAAGCTTGCTTCTTCCTTGTTTAATATGCCAAAGTGGTCATGAGCCAAAAAGAAGTGTTTTTGTTGTTTAGCAACTGGCATGAGGACATAAATCTGAGACCAGGTTAACATTAAAAAAGGGCTGTACTTTTTAAACTTCTTCATAGTCAGTTACACTATTGATTATCATACAAGATGGAGATAAGGAACAGCTGCCTCGAGGCCCCAATTGTGAACTTGTCAGGGTATGTGGCTTGGCCATGTTTGAGATGGTCAACGCATCAGGTTAATCTGGTCTGATCTTGCAAATCCACTCATGTTCTTGTAACATGTTAGTTAACTGGCATCGATATGACATTTTGTTGCACAACATGCAGTGCGGTCAGTTCATAATCAGTGAGAAAATTATTCCAACTTATGCTTATAACCCACAGTGTTTAACATAGCTGCTATCACACAAGCTGGGCAGAGGACATTTGTCCAGAAGATTCAAAAAATTAAAATTAGAAGCAATTGGGAAAGAGATATTAATAGTTACCAATGTCCCTTTATATAATCAATGATGCAATTGCAACATTCCAAAAAAGGAGAAAGCAGCATCCTAAGGAAAGGGAAGTGGAAAAATAATAGACGCCTCAGTTCCTCAAGAGAATATTAGTTGTACATAATAATTTTTTTTTAACAACTGAGAATCATTTCATCCTTCCAACAAACAGCACTAATGGGAAATAGCACACAATTTTCTGTATGCAACTGCTATATGAAAACTGTTACTGAATATGATGGTGGCCAACAATACTTACTATATAGTAAGAATTTAGAAATGTATACAGAAGATAACACAGCATACCTTTTTTTAAATAAAGCATCCTTTACGCCTTACTGATCAATTGATTTTGTGCTCTTAGCTCCTTGGAAAGGGGGGCGGGGAGGAGAAGGAGACATCAGGATATACTTTTAAGATTATACTACTAGACACAAGAAATGAAGAATCAAATGTGCTCAGTGTTTTGTTATGTTTTAACACCAAAAACTGATAGCCACAAAAATGGCGGGATAATTAGGCATATTAGCTTTCCCAAAAATATATCTAAATGAAAGTTTATTATAATGTTCTTTCCACTTACATTTGGTCTTTTTCCATATTTTTTTTAAAAATATCCATATAACGGGAAATTTCTTATTTGTTTAAAGGAGCATCATGTCTTTACCTAGTTGCTCATTTCCTTCTTGACATACCTTATAAAATTTTACATCAATTCTTATTAAGAGTTTTCCCATTTCCTGTTCAACAGGCTACCCTGACATTTCCACCCCCAGTCAGACATAAAACACACTGCCACATTCAGGTAATGTGTCAGGATTCAAAATTACTACATGCAACACTCAGTTTAAAATTTGTCTTAAGCTATGGACATCTGGCTGTACAGTCAACCAAAATGGGTGAAAAAAATTCATTTTTATTGAAACTCATAACTCAAAAAATATAAGATGCTGTAGTGTACAATATGTTACACAAAGCACCCTGAGGTGCACATTCAAGTCAAGTAAGAAGTTCCATCCTCCCTCCCTCCCTCCCCCCTCCCTCCCCCACTTGGTACCCTAAGTATTTGTTCCATATACAATCATGCACATTTACTCTGCAAGAGGAAGCCCCCAGCTCCATATTCTGTTAATTAGCACCAAAATATCTGTTCTCTCTCTCTCTTAATTTAACAGGGGAGCTATATTAACTCAGCCAATACTGTAGACAGATGTCATACATTCATGGAATTGAACAGCCTAATCTAACTTCAACACCATGTGCACTGAACCAATTAGCATCCCCGCCCCCCCCCGCCCCCCAGAAGTGGAAGAAGTCTCCCCTCCTTCTCTATTTTTAAATTAAACACAACAATTTATGAACTTTCCACACAAAGGTGATCTGTTTTTTTTGTTGGGAAGAAGTCTATGAGGGGCGAGGATAACGTACGTCTTTCAATAACAACTACTGGTCGCAAATAATGAAGCTGTTTTAAGGCATTGTCCCCACACTTTGTTAACGCCTTGTCCAATATGGCCCTCAGGTTTTCCAGGGAAGGGATCGAGGGAGAGTCCGTGGATAAGAGAGGCTGCATCCCTCTCAGCTGCCCATGAGCTCTGGAGCCGCTGTTTTTCTTGGACACAGCTGCTGCCGGGACAGTTTCATATGCAGTCTTGCCCCGTGTGTCATCCCTTTTGAAGTCTTTCTCTTTCTGTACCACCACACCCAATTCATATCGGCCAGCCGGCTCCCATTCATCCTCGGAGTCGTCATCGTCATCTCGTTCCTCACTTTCTTGGATGAATTTTAAAAAGGAAGACTCAAACCCCATTGGTTTGAAGGACTTTAAATCAAACGGCTTTGGCGCAGATTGCCTCTGCATCTTATCTTTCGTAGCAGAAAGGGGAGGAGGGTTTTTAATGTTCTGCTGTGCTGATGCACGCTGCCAGTCGTTTACATCTTTCTCCCTTTGTAGCTGTACACCTGACCTCACACAGTAGGAGGGGTTTTCTCTTCCATCACTTCCAGGCAAGTTGTCTGTTTTATACCGAGGTGACTCCAATCGACTACATTCTACAAAACACCTGGTTTTTGGATTGTGGATATGTTTTAAAGTGCCTGTACACAAAGAGACACCAGCCTCCTGGGCCTTGTCACTCCCACAGGAGCTGCCGTTTTTACTGCTTTTATCATCATGATTGCAGTCCGAGTTTGGAACACGATGCCCTTCATTTTCACGCTGATATGCAGGGTGCACTGTAACTTCCTGCTTAGAGTCACTGTTTAGCTCTTTATTCGAACCCTGGCTTTCTTCTAAGCAGGGGTCATTTATCACAGTACCACATTCGACACATAGTACAAGCTCCTCATACTGTTGTTCTATATAAATACTGGCCATCTGGTGGGTACGCTTATAGTGTCTCACAATACTGCTTTCCAGTTTTACTACAGAGGGACACCCCCGAACCATGCAAGGATACTGTGTCTGATTGCAGTTGTCTCTGCACATTTGCAGGGCTTCCTCCCTTGTTCTGAAGTTATATAACTGCTTTCCTTTGCTTTTATTATTCTTCTCAGATTTGTCATGGATCCGTCTCTTTTTCTCGCTCTCTTCATGCCCGAAGCACTTATCTTTCAAGCACCTTTGCTCCTGTCCATCTTTAAGGTGGGCCAGTTTTTCTTTGGCAGCTTCCGAGACCCCATCATAATCACTGTGTCGGAAATATACATGTTGAGAATAGCGGCTGTAGGTTGTGAAAACTCGGTTGCAACCATTAAGGTCACAATGAATTTCAATCTCTTTATTTATTTCCTCTTCCTTAGCATGCTCTTCCATCAGGTGATGCTTCAGTTTGTGGAAGGAATAAAATGCAGCAGGACACTGAGGATGGTGACAAGGAAATCTCACGGACTCTGTTTCAGAAAGCACTTTGGAATCCTCTACATGGTCCAGGCCATGAAAGTCACTGCAATGCTTAGCAAGCGATTTAGAACACAAGAAGCGTTTGCTGCATGCCTTATGTTTGCAAACAAATATTTTTTTACATTTGGCAAGTTCCCTCTTTGTTCTCGCTTTGTCTTTTTCTAGGCAGAGCTGTTCTTTGTTATACTGGTGCACCGTTCTGTAGTGCCGAATCAAACCTTTCTGATTAGTAAATGCAGAATTGCAATTTTTATGAATGCAATGGAACGGCTTGTGGTATTTATGCAAAATGTAGCATAAATTTCCTTTGGCAACTGTTCTTTTACTTCCCCTCCCCTCTCTTGCTTCTAGTCCTTTCCGGTGGCTTTCCAGAGCAGACAGTTTCGTCTGCTTGCCAGTTACACAACTTTCTGCTTCTTCACTAGACTCCAGATCTGTTTCAGAACTAAGCTCATCTTTCTTTGGATGACACTGCTCTTCTTCAGCCAGGTTAGCTTGGTCATCAAGTTCTTCCTCTGTATTGGCATAGAAATCAGACATTGAACCCATGGTATCATTCAGCATATCCTCAGCGCTCTCATCCGGATCCTCAAAACTCTCATTACCAAGTAATTTCTGAGTTGCTGTCATATTGCCAAGTTTATGTTTGTTTCTATAATGGACTCGAAGATGTGTTTTTCTTGTAAATGATCTTTGGCAAATATGACATTTAAAAGGGGAATACCGGTGTTGAAACATGTTCAACTGAAGCACCATCTCCTTTGAATAATTGTGTTTTCTAACATAATGCGTCAACAACGCTTCCCTGGTCACAAATTCACATGTGCAACCTTGACGCTCACAGAAAAATGGCTTGGCTGCCAATTGGGTAAGGTATTGTTTTGGTAGTTTGCCTTGCTGCTCTTCAGGGAAATAGTCTGAGGTAGATTCATCTTCAGAGTTTGGAGACTGTGACAACCTGGAAGAATTTCCAGTATGACCACTGGAATTTTTTAAACTTAAATGCTTCAAGCCCAGGAGAAGTTCCAACATTGCATCTTCTGAACTGGACATTTTGGAAGCTTCAAAATAGGAAGTTTCTGGGGAAGAAGGATACAGTTCTTCATTTAAATAGCTTTTGCTATTAGAACTTGTATTACAATCTATAATGCCTGGAGAGTCTGTATTTCTACATGAATGATATATGAGCTCTGGACTAATATCTCCATCAGTATTATGACTGTCACTGTACTGAGCAATATCTTTAGTTTTCAGACCTAGCTTCCTCCTAGGTTTGAAATGGTAAGGATGAGCCCTTCGAAGATGTTTTTGCATGCCCTTTGAATTTTTGTACGTTGATCCACAGTCTTCAAAGCCACAGGTAAATCTTTTCCCATCAAAATATACAGCCACATTTGAATACCGCTCTTTTAAATTGGATGGAAGGAAGACTTTCTCACGGGGTAAATCACTCCCGGGAGTTGCCTGGCCACAGTCCACTGCTTCAGTCAAAGGGGTCAACTGAGTCTCGCTGGCTAGGGATGCGATATTGCTTCCTAAACTGCCATTACTTTTGCCATCCACCTCTCCATCAGATATAGCTTCTTGTTTAACTTGCTGGGTTTCCTCCAAATTTGTAGATTCTTGCTTAACCTGCTGGATTCCCTCTGAATTTGTAGATCCCGAAGGCAAATTAAGACTCTCATGCAGATCAGAAGGACCTTTTTGTTCAAACACTTCCAAATCTGAAAGGCAAGTAAGACTGTCCCCAGAAACATTTTCCTCATGCTTAATCTGCATCTCCTTTATTTCACCATTTGACATATGCATCGACAGGTGATTTGTAAACTCAGTTTTGGAATAGTAAAATTTTTTACAACCACTAAAGTTGCATGCGTAGGAAGCATCCCTAAAATGCTGGGCTTCGTGGTGGTAGAGCTGCCCCAAGTCACTGAAAACAATGTTACAACCACTGAGCTCACATTTATAACGCAGATCGTCGTGCTGTTGCTTGTGATGGAGCAGCTCATTCACTGATCCAAACCTAGCATAGCAGCCCACCGACACACACATGTACGGCTGAGGGCCACTGTGCACTTGTTCATGCTCCTGTAGATGGAAAGCCGAAACAAAATGCCGCCTGCAGTATGCACACTTCTCACGCCTGTTTTTCATGTCCAAGTAGTGCATTGCATTTTGATCATTGTTTTGGTGTTCTGCTTTCAAGTGAACGCTTAAGTACTTGAATTGCTTAAACACTTTGGAGCAATCCGTGCCTGGGCATGGGTACAGGTCCCTGTCCTGCAAGTGGCAGTTTTCTAGCTTACTAAACGTGACGAAATCCTGCGTGTTGAGTCTGGGTTGTTCACACTGCGTTATTTTGAGTGGCTGGTTTTCTCCAAGGCCTACAGAAGCAATTCTGGCTAGACTGCTCTTTGCCAGCCTCTCTTTCTTCAACAGCAACTTCTTCTTACTACGGTATTTTCTACTAGGAGGCATTTTTACATGTTCCATCACATGCGTCACAAAGACATCCTTCCTCTTGAACTTTTTTATACACACTGGGCATGTATAAATGCCATCTTCCATATGCATCTTAGAATGGTGAAGTATTCTGGCCTCTATACATTCCCTTTTGCAGATAACACAGAAAAATTTGTACTGAAGCCATCTCTGGTACCTTTCTGAGGATCCAATCGGCTTTTTAACTCTCACCCTCTCTTTAGGCTGGTTTATTATATCTTGACCTTCAAAATTATTATCTTCGCAATCGCTTAGGAGACCATCCAACAGTTCGGTTTCATTGAACAACATCTCATTGCAACTCAGATCATCCTCTGACTCAGAAACTTCTTTTCCTAACAATTTGAGACAGTGTCGCTTCAGAGTTTTCCAGTCCCAAAATTCTGGATCAAATGGCCAATACGCCTTTAAAGCCAACAGTAGCTCACAACGGAGGGAGTTTGGAACTGCTGCATTTTCTTCATCCAATTTTTGATCTGGCTGCAGGTAGAGCTCTTCTAGTAGACTGTATCTTTCCTCGCTTGGCTCAAGTAAGTATTCAGTGAGCTGGCATGCTCTTCTTACTTCAAGGTCTTCCGGCAGAAGGCATGCAATTGTTTTGCATACAGAGGTCTTCATGTCATCATTTTCATTTGATCGGAGCTGCAGGGCTCTCACACATAACAAAACAGACACAATAAGGCCTGATTCTTCTGCCTATAGGAAGGAAGAGAGCACAAGTCAGATCTTAATTTAGCCCCCAGGGACATCTCTTAAAAACAAAGGAAACACAACTGAAAAAACTGGACAAGATATATGGATAAATTTTCATAGAACTCTAGAGTTGGAAGGGACAAGGGTCGAACCCACAAATCTGAGATAAGTCTTACGCTCTACCGAGCTAGCCCTCTCAATCCTGAAGCGATTACAGATTTGAGTAACCCGTGGCCCTCCAGATGTTGCTGGACTCCCATTCCCATTAACACCAGCAAGGATGGCCAAATGGCCAGGGATGGTGAGAGTTGTAATTCAGAAACATTAGGATGGCAACAGGTTCCCCACACCTGGATTAGAGGGATATATAAAGATACATACTCTGGCATTTCTTATTTCAATCAACTTCAATGTTTTACCCAAAAAAACATACTGAGATTTACTTTCTTAAAATTAAAGAAGGCACCAGTCATATCTGTTACTTAATTCTGCCATAGAGTTCACTGGTACACATATTATCTTTACAACAACTCTGTAAGGTAGATCAGGCTAAGAAATAATGACTGACCCTAAGTCACCAGTTAAGCTTAATGGATAAGTAGGGATTTGGACTTCGGTCTCTGTTGCCATCCTGATATTCTAACCACTCTACTACAGTGGGGATTCTTTTTACCGGCATGTTAGGCATTGCCAGAGTAGAATTTGCCAACTTGGTGGCCTGCAGATTCTTTTTGAGTGGTTTCAAGCATAAAAGACACTTTGTGGCAGCAAATACACACAATTTTGTGAAAGCCATTCCCAAGTTTTTAGGAACTAAGTATACCTGGAATTCTGAAACAGATTTATATATCTGTTTCAGATATATATACACAGTGGTACCTTGGAAGTCGAATGCCTTGCAAGTCGAACGTTTTGGCTCCCGAACACCGCAAACCCCAGAAGTGATTGTTCCAGTTTGCAAATGTTCTTTGGAACCCTAACGTCTGTCGCAACGTCCATGGCTTCTGATTGGCTGCAGGAGCTTCCTGCAGCCGATCGGAAGCCGCGCCTTGGTTTCCGAACCGTTTTGGAAGTCGAGCAGACTTCCGAAACGGATTCCATTCGACTTCCAAGGTATAACTGTATAGAGAGAATGAGTGTGTGTTTGAAAACCACATCAAATCAAGATATCTACTTGTTTTCTGTTGCACAACGGCAAGGATTTTTCAACTTCTTTGCTTCCATACTATTCCTTATCACTTCCTATTTCCACTCAAAAGTTTTGCTGCTGAATTACTTCCTTTGTCTTTTTAGATAGAGGCGCTGAAGAAACATCAGTAGTACAGCAAAAAGAGCAACATCAATACAGCAATAGAGTAAAAGCAGAGTTGAATCTACTGTGTGCCAAGGTCCTCTAAGGACTAGAATATGAAGCCTTGGAAGATAGGAAATTCCGCTATGCAAGCACTCCTTATCTAAAACAGAAAATAGGCAGCTTGAATCAGCCGGAACTCCAACAGGAAGAAGACATAAAGGGCAAGAAATGTACTTGGCAGAAGCAAGTGAAAGGGAAGAAAAGTGCAAGTGAGAAGTCCAGAGAGCCAGTCTGACTTGCTGCTGTGAAGTTCAGATGTTCAACTTGTCATGTGCTCAGCCATTAGAATGACACAAGGCAGCCATCAATTATGTCTTCCCAAGGGTAGCCAACAACAGGATGCACCCAAAAGCTACTGAATTTTTGTTATCTGCTGAAAGTACATAGATTAATTCTGTGATAAACTGCTTCCCAAACAGGCACTTACTTCAGCTTGTATGACTCTAATTAGGAAGAACAAGTGTTGCAATGTCCTAGCAATGATGCCAAACTGCCGGCAGCGCTCCAGAAAGGAATCTAAAGATGGGTCAATTCTCTTTTGTAGTTTGCTCCAAAATAAAGTCAGTTCCCTACGGAGAAAGTTTAGGACAAATGCTTAGTTAGAGATCCAGTAGTCAAACTTAACAATGGTTTAAACATGAACATGCAGAATGCTAGTGCATGGGAAGAAAACGATGACTGCTTTGCTCCTTCCCTGGAGCCAGGCCATGGTTTGCACCGGCAATTCATTCAGATGGCAAAACTGAAAAGCTTCATACATAATGCCCAACACCACAGCATATAGTAGACATATCGTAGCACTTTCAGGGATCCAGAATATTAAATGATAACTGACAGGAGTCAAATAATGTATGATATTGGATTAGGCTATACTGGGCTATTGGGGCAAGACATGGAAGTTGCTTCTGCCAGCAGAATAAAAGTGATGGGGCAGGACAGATGTCTGAAAGCAACTCATTAGAAGCAATACTGAGAAATAGGAAGGCCAAGATAAGAAAAAAGGAAAGAGAGCGTCTGAAAAGTTATACCAAGAGTAATTTCTTTAGCTAAGGCATACAACTAAGAGAAACCAAATAAATGACTTTCAGTGCACCTCTGAGGTCTCATGTCTCTTTTCTCCCCCCCCCCCCGCCCCATGTCTCATACTTGACCTGAAATGGGGGTCCTGAGCTGTGATAGCTGGCACAATGACCTCTGGTTGTTACTGGTCTCCAGCTCCCTTCATTCCCGGCTAGGGATGATGGCAGCTGGAGTCCAGTAACATCATGAAGGCACCGGATGGCTCCCCATGGTCTTGAGATAGAAACAACCATCTCTTCGAGGATTTATTTTTCCACCCTCATCAAACACTGTTCTAACAACAGTATCTTCTATTTTATATCCAATCTAAGCTTATTATATCTAACCATTCCTGATTTTTTGGGTAATACTTAACATCTGTAAATCCTTGTCAAGCATGTTTCCAAGCATCAACATTACTGACGGACAGCCTATTTCTAAGATGATGTTAATTTGGAGCATTAATTTGGGTAAAGAATAAATTAAATGTAAAAAAACCACAGGATTGCTTTTGGAATATATGCTTCTTCATATAATTGCCTGCATTCAGTTAATCCTCCACAGTTTGAAAAAACAAGAAGGAGAGCAGAAATCCCTGCAAGTAGAGATCATCACTGGATTCCATTTCTGGCTAAGAGGGAAACCATGTTTTGAAATTATAGTTTCAAATGCTCCCTACTGCTCATTCTGGATCCTCCACATTGTAGTTTGGAGGTTTATCTGATGTTCTCTGTGTCTAACATTAGTTTATTCAACCTCTAGAGGTTCTTGAAAAATGGAAGAGATGTACTCACAACTAATGTTTAACAAATGTAAATACTTTGTTTTTAAGAAATAAATTTAATTCACATAGAATGAAACATTCTCTTTAATGTGAGCTACTTCAATGGCCTATGTGAGCCAGAATAGCAAATACATGCATTTAAAAATAATATCTGGACATAGTACTTACCAAGAGCAGTACACATTTCCATTTTGAAGCTGCTGCGTGAGGTATGTTGTACAAAGAATGAATGCAGTACTATCTTGACCTTCAGCTTCCAGATTACATATCATATCCAGGACCTCTTTGCAGTCCACCTTTGCAATCTTTCAAAAACAAAAATCCAGAAGAATTCTATTGTAAATAGTTTCATTCAAAACCACTTTGCACACACAAAGGTACTTTCAGGAAGACTTTTATATCCTTCTGCAATCAGTAGTTTGTGCCACTACAGTAGCTGTGTTAAAGTCCATATTGTCAACAAAGGCATAGCCCAGCTCTTGTTACCTGAAGTGCTAAAAGGTAAAGGTAAAGGTACCCCTGCCCATACGGGCCAGTCTTGACAGACTCTAGGGTTGTGCGCCCATCTCACTCAAGAGGCCGAGGGCCAGTGCTGTCCGGAGACACTTCCGGGTCACGTGGCCAGCGTGACAAAGCTGCATCTGGCGAGCCAGCGCAGCACACGGAAACGCCGTTTACCTTACCGCCAGTAAGCGGTCCCTATTTATCTACTTGCACCCGGGGGTGCTTTCGAACTGCTAGGTTGGCAGGCGCTGGGACCGAGCAACGGGAGCGCACCCCGCCGCGGGGATTCGAACCGCCGACCTTTCGATCGGCAAGCCCTAAGCGCTGAGGCTTTTACCCACAGCGCCACCCGCTCCCTACTTGAAGTGCTAAAAGCACCTAAAAACAATGCAGTTCAGATCTTATATTGTACTGCTTTATTGGCCTGAATTACAGTGTTTTATTTTTAATAGACATCTGAAGACATCTGAAGTTCAGGGAAGTTTTTAATATGTGACATTTTAGTGTATCTTTCATCTTTGTTGGAAGCCGCCCAGAGTGGCTGGGGAAACCCAGCCAGATGGGCGGGGTATAACTAATAAATTATTATTATTATTATTATTATTATTATTATTGCTTGTTTCTTAAATAGTCTTTCTATTGTTCACTCACTGTGGGGTTTTAAACTGTTATTACCTGCTTTGAACAGGATTTTAAATACAGTGGTACCTTGGGTTACATACACTTCAGGTTACACCGCTAACCCAGAAATAGTACCTTGGGTTAAGAACTTTGCTTCAGGATGAGAACAGAAATCGTGCTCTGGCGGCGCGGCGGCAGCAGGAGGGCCCATTAGCTAAAGTGGTGCTTCAGGTTAAGAACAGTTTCAGGTTAAGAACGGACCTCCGGAACGAATTAAGTACTTAACCCGAGGTACCACTGTATCCATTAAATAAAATTCCAATGTTACTATGTATCAGCAGAGGCAGCCTTCTAGACGTGAATCCTCTGCTCCGTCTCTCCGCAGCAAATATGTTGGCTTTATTATCAATATTTATATATCACCAATATTTTATTGGTCTGTAATAGCTTTAGAACTACTGTTGTGGTAAAAACAGTAGTTCCAAAGCTACTTCCAGAGAAATAAAACAATACATTTTAGAAATACAAAGCACAATTAAAAGGCATTGAACAGGTAACACCACCAAGATCAGAGCTTGCCCACTCACCTCTTTGATAGATTCTTCAGTTGGAAGCATGGAACACAAGCAAGTGATGTAAGCTTGGAGAAATGGCAATGTATTTGAAATTTCCGTGGACTCTTTGCACAGTTTGGATAGGGAAGCAGCTTGCCGAAGACGGTTTGTTTTCATCAAGTATTTTATTCGCATCTGCATAAAGACTGGTCCTTCCTGTTTAATCAGTTTGTTGACTAGAAAAGAAGTGGAAAAGATTTTTGCACACACTATTTATCACCAGAATTTAGCTCAAGCAGTAATGTATGCCAGTGGTTGGCATCTGACAGCCTATTTCATGGCCTTCTGTTCTAGAATTCCTGAAATTCTGTTCTAGAATTCCTGAAACTCTTTAGAATTTAAACTACATATCCATTGGGGGGAGGTGGAAGGGGAGAAAGTTTTTGGTTAAGGCAAAGACTCCAAACAAACAAAGGACTCTCATCTTGCCTCACTTTTATCCCCAAGTACAGGCGGTGACCATTTCACATGGGGGTTGTTTCCACCCTGAGCACGTATGAGCCCTAGCCTGGTACACCCTGCCCTGCCCCCATTCTGCCCTCTTCCAGATCCAAAAAGAACCTGCGCATTGGCGACGGCTTATCAATTGGACGCACCTAAAATGGTTGTAGCCTGTAATGAAAACAGTTGGAAATGATCTATGGTGGGTTTGAGTTTGCAGTTCTACAGAGAAACAGTAACCTGTGAATGACCCATCATAAGCAAGGGTGTGTGGCATAAATACTCGGGAATTCCTCAACTCTATTAACAAGATTCTTTCAGGAAAACTTCACAACGATCTAAATGCTGGATCTAAAAGGTGCTCTTAACACTAGCGGAAAACATTTCCTGTTCACAGCACTGTATGAGAAAACCCAGAAGTTCTTCAGACTCCAAAGGCTTCTTTTACTGCCTGCACTAAAGACTATATGCTACATTCAGCATTTTCCTAATTCAATATTCCTCATGTTTCTATCTGATGTAGGAGACTACAGTTTGTGCCATAATAAAATCTGCTAGTCTAAGACGCCACAAGATTCTGCTTTTGCTTCTCATACTATAATGCAACCCAACACGTTGTGGTGCAGCACTGTCTTCCGCTAGCTCTTGCGCAAGAGTTCCTGGAACAGCTCAAAAATATTTTCTCCCTGTGCTTTATGGTTCTTTGAATAAAACCCTCAAATCTTATTATATGAGCAGTTTCACAGCAGGTAATGAACGACAGCCATATGTAATGAAAGGGGTATGACCACAGTGTTGGGAAAGAACAAACAAGAAGCAGATACTAGGCCAAGTACTTTTCTTCTCCCTAGAATCTAGGCCAAGGAAAGCTAGCAGATAAGGGAATGCTACAGGACTGGAAGAGTGAAAATGACACCTCAGGATTCATGGTAAAGCTCTGCATGCTCTTCACAGCAGCAGTTGAGGAAGACCTATCATCATGCTCAGTTCTTTAGGAGCAAAATGTTTCAGTGTGAAAGACTAGCTACTGCTCACATCATAACAGTGGCACAGTAATGGAATTCTCATTTGAGGTACAAGTCTCAAGATCTTACCTTCTTCTGCTTCTACAGGCTGCTGTGATATAATATTTAAGAGAACTGGATTCTTCCATACACCTTCCTTTGAAATGTCAGCCAGTGTTTCGAGGCTATTGTCTCCAAATTTAAGTAAAGCATTATGGGAATCCTATGTTGGAGAAAGAGATAAACAATTATACAACCTTCCTTAGACATCTATTGGGAAGCTTTTAATGTCTGGTGTATTGTGTGTTCTTTATATTCTGTTGGAGGCCGCCCAGAGTGGCTAGGACAACCCAGTTTGATGGGCGTGGTATAAGTAATAAATTATTCTTATTATTACTGTTATATAAATTCCTACATTTCTAAGATTTCAGTTGGGATCTCTACACAAGGCTCTAAGAAAAGGCTGCAGAAATACGGCATTTTTCCAGCATTTAATTACACCGGGTAATATCCAATGAACTCAGAGCAGATCCACTGAATATCTTTGGCTTTGTTAATGTGCCCCCCACCATCATATTTAGAGGAGGTTTTTTTTATTCCATTTCTATTGTGAGGTACATAGCTTAGAAAAAGGAGTAGATATAAACGAAGGTATCTTACAATTAGTCATGTTGAGATCATGCCTACAAGTTTATGTAATAGAAATTTCACTATATAATTGTACAGCAAGTAGCCCAGAGTAACATAGCCTTCCTTACATCAAAACATGGAGAATTCATAACATGCAGTGGGTAACCATCCATATCTCCTACAATAATCAATGAAATTAGTCCGTTCTTGCCTGAAAATGTGCTGTCTTGTGCTGTTCTCCTAGTCTGATAAAGTAGATTACTTTAGCCATTAAAGCTTTGTCCTATATGTCACCATAGCATTATTTAATGGTACATTTGACTATCTCCATTTAATTCTCTGAAGGCTGTGCAGTGTCTCCTTCTAGCAGACATTCCTCCTTTTAAAAGAAGTCTCCCCAAACCTCTACTCCCAATGTGAGACAGGGGATATTGCACTACTGGAGCACTCTTCTATCACATAAAAAGTTGCAAAAGGAGGCCTACAACCTCACTATATATTAAAGGCTGTATGAAGAACTAGAATTCATATAAGACACCCAGGTAAGGTATACGTAATCATAACGTATTTATTCCCATTTTATACTGGATTCAAATAAAGAACTACCACAAATACCACAGCCTACTTAGTTATAATCTGAAAATATGTATTTCTAGATGCAAACTGTTGAAACAGGGTCCCCTGTAGAATAGAGATGAAAAATACTTGCCTGTATAGACTGAAACAGTCTTAACAATGGTTCAGACTGCTCCTCACTTTCAGGCACAGAAAGCAGTAGTTCAAAACAGCTCCTGAAATAAATAAATCACAGAACTAAGCTAGTTAGGACCACCATTTAGGAAGTAGCACGTTGGATCATTTTGTATCTCTGTTTATAATCTCTCTAGGTCAAAAGAATGTGAAAACATAGTAGAAAAGAGCTGAAGCTGTTAAGCAGCATAACAATTGCTACTAGCAGTGATGCTGTTTCCCATGAGAAGAACTCAAGACAGATGCACTGTAACAATATTTAGTTGGAATTATAGCACTGAGTGATTTTCAGGCTGTATTGGCAACTTATTCTTAACAGCATCTTTGACCTCAGAAAACCAATGTGATGCATAATAATGGTCTTGCAGATTCATTCACATTTTGAATTTTCAGGTACCAAGTTCCAAAGAAGTACCGTTTATAATATATGTAGCCCGGGGGGGGGGGGAGTAGATAGGCTCAAGGTTCACTAAGATGCAGCATGGGGAGAAGATGGCATGATCCATGCCATTTACAAGTTCACAGTAATGTTATTTCTCTACACATAATTTAAACTTGCATTCCACCGTTCTTCAGGTCAGTGTATACAGGGTTATACATTTCCCTCCCCCAATCACAATAACCCTGTGAGACAGATTAAGTCTCCCTGATTCAAGTGCAGCTCTCTATCCACTACACCACACAGTCTCTGGTGCTTCCCATTGTCCTAAATTTAGGAAACAGATAAGATTGGTAAAATCCTAGCAGTTATGCATGCTCTCAGCAGAGTTCCCCCCACCTCTAGATCACTTAAGCTAAAAGGGAGGGGAGTAACCTTTGTCACAGAACGGATCCTGAAAGTGAGGTGGCATTGGCCCTGGAGGATACACATCATAGGGTGTACATCCTCCCAGCCAACTCCCCCCCCCCAATCCTTTGGGTCTCAGGTTAAAGAGAAGCAACTGGTCTTCATGCCAAACTCCCTGCCCAACAGGGTGGATTTGATTTAAATCAAATCGATTTAAATCACGATTTAAATCACTAGTCAGTAAGACTTATTCTTGCTGGTATAATCTTAATATTTACAACCAGATGAAGGTTTATTTTTGGAATAATAAATTTTCAGAGTAGTTTTTACAGTTATATCAAAAATTACTGATTTGGTTATACTCTTAAGAAATACATAGACAGATAATTATGAAATTATTGTGAGGTTTAATAAGTTAACTATATTTGGACAACTTTTCTGCTGCACTTTATTGGAAGGAGAAAAATAACCATTTCCTTCCATTTAAACAATTTATTTAACTAAAACAATAACATTATAGCATATGTATCCATGTTTGTTAACTGATGCGGTTAAACAATTTTAAAAAAACTTAAGACTGAGTTTTAGTACACAAAAAAACCCATTAAGACTGCGTTTTCTCCTCCAGGGAGAGAATATTGTCATAAATCTGGTGGAAAGCTAGAAAAGGGAAACCAAGGATTGGAGCAGAGAACTTCAGGGATTCCTGCAGGACTGAAGTTCCAGGTACAGATCCCAGTTACTATTTCCTCCACCACCCCTTTGGATTTGCTTCTACATTCAGGTGCTGTATTCTGTACAGTTAAGTGTTAGTGCAGTTGTTGGAACCCAGTGGGATTGGTTGCAAGCCCTGAAGCGCCTTCAGCACTTGCCTCAAGTCTGAGTTGCACAGACATGCAACTGACTTGCACAAGTATTACACAAAGATCCCAAGACTTGTGGAGTATTCTGCACTTTCATTTTTACTGCTTCACACTTAGCTACTTGTGCAGATATATTCCACTCCAAACAGTCTATTCATTGAACCTCTTGGAATTTAGTGGTAAGGGGTTGATTCTGTGTATATAAATCTGCAAAGGAACAATGGGATTAAGGTTTCTTCCTCAACTCTGTATGTTTATTTTATAACATTTTTCTGTGAAAAAAAGGCATGTTATCTGTGCAGACACAAATTCACACTTCTGAGAACTGCTAAACAAGCATCTGTGATAATATCTTCTCGTTAGAAAAAATGCCCCCAAATAATCTTACAGAAACCTCTGGAAGAGCATGACATTGTGAATGGATTAATGGAATTCATTTATCAAAAACAAAATTTAAACATTGCATATGAAGCTTCATGCTACATAATTAAAAACAAATCCTTATTTCCTGATGAATAGCCTTTGGACTGACTATAATGTAACTTAAATAGAAAACTATGTTTAGAAAGATTTTTCCTCCAAAAGCATTTTATTTTAAAAATTCTGATTTAAATAAAAATTTCCAATTTAAATAAAAAAAAGATTTAAATTTTAAAAATCTGACTTTAAAAAAAATATGGAAAAAACATTGATTTTTATCCACCCCGCTGCCCGAGAGACTGCTCCATGCTTTGCTGTCAGTATACAGACCCCACAATTTCCTACAACGAAGTGGGGTGTCTGCATGCCAGAGATGTGAGGAGAGCATTCCAATTTCCACTGCCTTTTTGAAAATATAGAATAGTTGTTTTCACCTTTGGTAATGACCTTCCCCCACCCAAGGATGTATACAAACAGGCACCCTGTTTTGTTGATACAGGGAATGCGATTTTCAATATCGGACAGGTGGGCACAGTAACTTGAAAATCTCTGTCGTTGATCAAATTCTCTTTTCTGTTAAAAAGTCATGTCCCAAATGTACTTACAACACTAGCCTGCCAATTACCAGAAGAACTTCTTCACATTCGGTAGTCAAGTAAGGTCGGGCATTGGCAAAGCTCTGAATGGCGACTTGATACACTTCCAAGAAAGGCAGAACATGCTCCGAAGCACCCGGATTGTCAGCATATTGTAGCAACGTCTATAAATGAAAAGATGTAATGCGGTAATATTTGTTCTCAACTCTGATTAAGCTATTTCAAGGCAATGTTATAATTCTATGCTGAGGATATTACGCTTTCCAACTTTTCTCAAAAGCAAAAACAAAGAAATGGCAACCTGTCACTCTACTCTCTTTTGCCTTCCTCCTAAAGCAAAACTGCTAATACTAATTACTATTATTTATGGACTTTCAAGAATGCAGCTCCTGAAAGAACTGCTATATGATAGCTGTAGAGTATAAGCTCATGAACTAGCAAGTTTTATCTACAGCCTTTTGTAGACACAGCACCTGCACTCAAAACAGTCTTTATATACCCTCACAATGAAAATTTGTATTCACATCTTTTGGGTACGATTTAACATCCATCACATTTCCCTACAAGGCAATCTCTTTCTTTCTTTCTTTTTCTTGGGAGATCACGTTCACCAAGCCTATAGTGGCACATGCCAAACCCATTCACAAAAGCATAATACATGTGTATGCTCACAAGCAGTGATGCAGTCTATGCAGGGTTTCTTTCAAATACAGTGCAGCTATCAGCAGGACTGAGCTATGCATTGCATACACCTTGCTAAGGTATAGGGAAGACCCTGAAAAACTAGGGCCAAACTAGGCGAATGTGGAAAATCCGTATCAGGTTTTCCGAAAATATTTTTCTTTCATTAAAAGCAGCTGCAGAACCAATAGCATCTCTGTCTTCCTCCCTTTCTGTGCTTAGTAACAGCTTGTGAAGTAGTTAAGTCAATCAGTGTGTTGTCAGGGGAAGCAGAAGGAAGAAATCACAGCCCTGCAACTTCACCATTCAAATCCCTCACATAGTTGCTTTTAACCAAAATAGTGTTGGGGTGTCTTGGTGCTACCTTCAGGCAGGTTTTCACACCCCAGCATTTAGCAAACCAAGAGGTGTTAATCTTCCAGTGAAAAAAATACACCGACTCTTGTGGCTCAGCAGAATAACTATACTGACAAATAACTAGACCAAGTTCTTAACATCTACTTTACTTTTGTTTAAACATGAAAACAATATATAGTTTAAGAGGTGTTTTAAAAAATCAAAACATTATAAGGAATCATTTCAACAACTTAATCTTTTAGAATTTTACCACAGCTGTTATAATGTACCAAGAGTCAAGTCAGATGAAGTGCTGATGCAGCCAGTCTCACCTTGAGCTCAGTCTTACATAGTATTACCGTATTTTTCGCTCTATAAGACGCACCAGACCACAAGATGCACCTAGTTTTTGGAGGAGGAAAACAAGAATAAAAATATTCTGAATCTCAGAAGCCAGAACAGCAAGAAGGATCGCTGCGAAGTGAAAGCAGCAATCCCTCTTGCTTCTGGGATAGCTGTGTAGCCTGCATTCGTTCCATAAGACACACACACATTTCCCCTTACCTTTTAGGAGGGAAAAAGTGAGTCTTATAGAGCAAAAAATACGGTATTTCTCATGACTAAACAAAATTAATGGGCCTCTACAGCATTTTAACAATGGCCAGTCTGCATGCCAAAGCAAGCCATAGCTAAAAACTAGCTATGGCTTGCTATGACATGTGAACCACCTGAACAGTCTTTCAAAATTATTTTCTAAGTTTCACTAAGAACTCATGGCCTAAACAGAGTGTGAAAACTTTGGTTCACAGGCCTAATTACAGGCCAAAGCCATGTCCACCTGTCCTACGTATTATAATATTGGTGACATCATCTGATATCCAAAAGCTCAGGTGTGCAGCAGGTAAAGTCATTCTCCAGGCCAAAAAGGGATTTTCAGGCACTTTGAAGCCCCAACTACCAGCTGATTCCCACTGGGAACTTCATACTGCAGCAGATGGAACTGGAGAAAGTGGCTTGGATGTATGTAACTGGAAGAAGTGCTTTGCATCCAATCCTCTTTCTCTACAGAAATGTCAAAGGAATGGTTACAGATACGAGCCCTGCCTACCTCTTTGAAGGTACACCCCCAGCATCAATTGACTAGCACCTGCCAAAGTTCAAATGTTATTGCTCAATCACCTCAAATCATTAAGACATCAGGTGACAGACAGATATGTGTTCCTACTGACCTATTCTAAGTCAGTTTGTGAGAGGTGAGGAGATATGGATCATTACCTACCCTGGCCTAGTGTAATGCTTACATTTTTAACTTTGAACTAAAGTCTTCCTAAATCAGGTTTATTATTACCTCCTTTCAACCCCTCCCCCCCATAGGAAGAGCACTTTTAATACAAATACAAATGAACTATAAATTGGCATTTGACCTCATTGAGCTGATAGGAAACCCCTTTTTTAATCCTTTGCACTAAGTTAATTTAGGTGACAAAGGTAAATAAAACAAAAAATAACTAGCTAGAAAGCTGCCAGTGTGACAATAAATCAAACCATATTTTTCATCAATACCTCTGACAGGTACTGACATGGATCTGAATTCTGAACACTGCTTGAGAAACACACCTTTCTACTGTGCACAATATTGATAAGAATAACACCCGCAGTGTTCCATGTGCTTTACTTACATACTCACTAATCCTTTCAATTTCTCTTGTTGCATCAGTTTTAACCTGATAATCCAAATGGGCCTATTAGAACTTGGCAGAGATGAATCATTAACTTTCCAAGTCTTTTGCTGTCTTTGTTTTCCTTTTCCTGTGAACATATCCTCAAATGGCATTTGCTTCCTGCTTGACAACACTGCCCTGGGAAGTTGCAGGCATGTTTTTTGTGTGAGTTCTATGTGTCTAAGGGGACTTTGGGCTTCTGTTTCTTCAGCTATAACCCACTGCAGTCACATGGCAAACCAGTAAGTGCTTTCCAGCGTGATTTGCAATTCCACATGGGGATCTGCTGTTCTAAATCAATAACCTTGTAGGCATGCTCAAGCCCTTGGGCTCACCTAAACTTGGTACCTGACTACTCAATTGTTTCAATCCACTTCACTCTGTGGGCCTAATTACATTCATCCAAGCTCTCTGAAGAAGGCAGGTGGGCAAAATTTCAGGATGTTTTAAGCTGTTTCAATCCTGGGGAAGCCCAGCCAGATGGGTGGGGTATAAATAATAAATTATTACTATTACTATTATTATTACTTCTAGAGAACTACAGTAGCCCCAATATAGTGCTTTTCACTACCAGTGCAAAAGGGAAAGCTGCAACATTGTGTCTACCAACTGCTAGCAGCTTGAATAGTGGAAGTTAAATTTAAATGCTTGTATTTTACTCTTTTTCCAGCCTCTTGTGACCACAAGCAGTTCTCAATGAATTATCAAATATCATAGCTAAATATTCTTACATCTGTATAGCTATAAATGTACTTAAGCTCACTGTCTTGTTTAACCAGACTATTTAAGTATATGGCCATGTTCTTTCATTAGTCTAAACACCAACCTTTCCCATGATTATTTTTAAAAAATGGTGGAATCTTATTTTAGCTTTCTTCTTTATATGAGCTAAAGCAAACATAAAGGCTTTTTATCCAGTCATAAGATTATGGAGTAAAGGGGCGAAAAATACCCAAACCACGCACTCGCACACACAGAGTAGTCAATTGCTTGCACACTATCTCAGATCATCCTAGTGAGTCAAGTAATAAATAAAAAGCCAAGATCTACAGCAGGTGAGCTTTCATGAATATAGGAATATTGTTCCTGCTGCCTGTCAACAGCTAGGGTCAACTCAATATTTCATAATTAGGAGGTTCATAATTAGAAGGCTTTCTGATTATACTTCTTAAACACATTTATTTTGTAAGTTTGTACATGTATGCAGCATCACAGAACTTCCCAGTCACACCCAGCACCTCACAGCAATAATCACAGCTTTATGCAAAGTGCTACACTCAGCTACTAACACCCAGTGCCCTATTTCTGTGTGTTAATGAAACAAATGGGCCAATGTGATCATCAGAAGTTGGATTCTAGAAAATCTTAGGGTTGCAGCAAGGAAGAGTGGCATATGCTCCACAGATCTTGCTATCCCCAGCAATACTTATTTGTATAAGATTTGTATAAAGATTTGTATAAAGATTTGTTGAGTGCATTAACTAGAAAATCATTTTGCCCAAATCTGTGTTTGTGATTCTAGAAGACTTAAGCATGCTGGAATGGCATGAACTATTACTTTTGACATTCCATACATATGCCTTGACGCTGTGTCTCAACAGAAGACACCTTACAAAATTATAAAGAGGTGAAATACAATGTTCTAGGAATACGTTCGAATGGAGGAACTAACTGGTACAGAACACACCTGGCTCTTACAAAAGATACAACATATCTGTACTGAAACAAGCAAAAGTGAATATCCATGTAATTATGTCACTTCAAACATCTCCCACTAGTTGGGATTAGTTCTGGCACTGATAAAGTATAAGTGATGCATCATTTAACTGTATAACTTACAGTTTTGTAGAGTTTGCCCATTTCTACAGTCAGATGACTAGAACAACAGAACTCACTTTCACATTTAACAGTGTATCCCTTTTCCTATTTAATGGTACCCCACCAACACACAACACAACACAACACAACACAACAACAGGTGGAGCTGTGGGTTAAACCACAGAGCCTAGGACTTGCCGATCAGAAGGTCGGCGGTTTGAATCCCCGCAACAGGGTGAGCTCCTGTTGCTCAGTCCCTGCTCCTGCCAACCTAGCAGTTTGAAAGCACGTAAAAGTGCAAGTAGATAAATAGGCACCACTCCAGCGGGAAGGTAAACGGCGTTTCCATGTGCTGCTCTGGTTCGCCAGAAGCAGCTTAGTCATGCTGGCCACATGACCCGGAAGCTGTGCACCGGCTCCCTCTGCCAATAAAGCGATATGAGCGCCGCAACCCCAGAGTCAGTCACAACTGGACCTAATGGTCAGGGGTTCCTTTACCTTTACCAACACACACACCCTTTTGCATACTTTTTGTTCATGACAGTTTGCGATTTTCTCAATTTGTAAAAATCTGCCCTTTAAAAAGAAATGTGACATATTTTTCTGCT